GGGTCTTTTTGGTATCATTTACTTTTCTGTTTATTCCTTTGCTATCAGCCATGTCCCCGCCAGTACCAGCGCACTGCTGCCACTTGTATGGCAGAGTGCGGGCAGACGGCACTTGTTTATAGTAAGAAAACTGGCCTCTTGTTTTCATGATGAACACATCGCCGACAGGAGTTAGAGGAAGTCGTCTAGAGCAGGGCCGAGTCGCCGTGAAAGAGTCAGGTCTTGCATATTAGCCACTGCCAGACAGGGACGGCACCATGGAAGTATCATCCATATGCGGACATGCGGGCCGGGTGCTCTTCGACTTTCAGCTTCCGGAAGAAGTCGCACGAACATATATGATATGCTCCCCAGAGACCCCGTCGTTTCTCCGCCCAGAGACATACCGCAGGGCGAGGTCGGTCCCCTCGAGTTCAACCGAGTATCGCATGGCGCCCGAATGCTCCGTGCCAGTGGCTCATCTCATCTTGACTTACTCCGGTTACTTCACTACGTTTCATCCAACCCCATAGGGAATGGTCTGATCACCCGCCAACCGCGCGACAAAGGCGTGTATCTTTTGGTAAACCCCGCTGCCGCTATCGTTTTCCAGAATCACGCTACGATCGCATGGTTCATGCTGGGCTAGCCAGGCTAGCCAGGCCCATGGTACGAGATGCACCCGAGGCCGAGTTGGCTGACGTTCACACTCCCCATTCATCACTTCTCGTAGAAACGGGCAGGAATTCGAGCTTGTCTAGGGTGACATGGGGGGAAAGGCGTAGAAAGGTAGTTGACGGTGGCTAGAAGCTGCCCCTAGGTATAAGTTACATCCATGTTCTGTCAGTCAACACGAGAATCAGGAAGAATCGCAAGTCTACAATCGACAGGTGGGCAAAGTCAAGTTGTAATAATAGTATTGCTCACAGACTCACAGTAGTATAGAGGCCATCTGTTCGTCGTTGTCCCAGCCCAGAATCCTGTGTGCATACTGGTATTGCCAGCTGCGTTCGAGAATGCTGTTCTGATAGCCAAACAATGAATATCACTCTATCGAACTGCATGTCAACCCCTGGCTAACAAGGGAGACCTTTGATGACAAGACCCTGTCGAGATTGTATAAAGCTATATGGCGTCAAATTATACTGCCATATATTGGTTCTGTATGATCCAAAGTCGAAGGGTGATCGGTGTTTTGAGTGGCAGGGGACGGGCGAAAGGAGGACTACTATATATCAAAGGCGAACAGTGATATGGGTGAAAAGTGTGGATGTAGAAGGAAGAATATCCCAGCCCAAAAGGGTAGCTGTGGAGGCTAGATATACCCGTCAACAGGTGGTGCCTGCAGGCAACTAGGCAATACTATACAGCCTACAAGAGTCGAGTCTCGGTGAGATTGGACGGCCCTCCACAGCGTGCGGCGTGATGGTAGGAAGATATCGCGTAGACGTTTCCTCCGATGATCAATCCAAATGCCTTACCATAGTTTGGCGTCGCAGGAACACGTGCAGCACTCCTTGTCTGCATCCTCGGGACTCTTGTGTCCTCACTGACAATAGCACGGGAAGTAGCCAAGTAAATGATTTCATACAGGTCGTTTTTTGACGTGTCATTCCGGGTCGATTCTCGAGTCTTAGGTGACCGGGTCAGCAAACAAAGCGAGTCATCCGAGGCTATGACATCCCACGGGCCACCAGGAGGGCGCTCATAATAGAAAGCCCAGAAGGAACAGCATCCTTTCGAAAGCGTTCCAGGCGATAGTCAAAGACTCTGGAGTCTCTGACCCCACGTCGATCCCAGTTCTGTAAGGACTTCACTCAAGTATGATGTCTTCGGTCCAGATGCACGTCTACCGTCTACCGTCGCGGGCCTGAATGTGCGTCGCGGGCCTGATTGTGTTGCAGCATCCCCCCTACATGCACGAGCGGTGAGCCCGTTGAGGAGGGAAAGACACGGGACCAAATGTCCCCAAGTTGCAAGACGATCAGAGGAAGGAAGGGTTAGAAACTCCGAGCTCCTGGACGATGAGATGATATGCTGGCCAAGGAGAAGTACGACGAGTATTAACCGAATATCTTAACCTCGTCCCAACCAGGTTGACTGTACTTCGTAGAGGATGCGTGCCGGCCGTGAACCCCGACGACTCGGCCGATTCGTTCAAGGTGTTCCGGGATTTTCGGGGGCCCCCCCTGCGATCAACCGATCAGCATGACAATGCCCGCCACATTTCAACCCCGAGCATAGCGGGTGGAATCTAGGCGGTGACGGTGCTCGTCTCTGGGCTGGTTCTTTAGCATCGGCGCGGCGTTGGCGTCGGGCCTGGGGCCGTTGAGCTTTATATCGACGAGCACTGCTTCGTGGCACTTCTTTAGCTCGTTGACATCATACGGGGTGTGGGTTGCAGTCACCACTCGCCTTTACCGTCTGCCTGTATTTTTCCACGTCGTCGCCGTGCCTGCCATTGATTCCGTTGCTCAGACGGGAGGCGGTGGACTTGGATAGAAGTTCTTTGCCCTCCTTTTGGTTACACGGCGATGGGCGATTCATTATGAACACAACTTTTCCGGATGGTCACCAAGGGACATGGTGCACGGACCAACTCCAGACAATGGACAGTTGCGATGATGTGCACGGAAAGATGGACTCGTTTGATGTCCTTTTTTTTTTGGATGGGATGAAGCGGGATGAAAAGCGGGATAAAGTGGGGACGAATCAGTCGATAACGCAGAGGTCCCAAACGGTCGTATCCTTGGCGGGGGCGGGATGAGGTCACTGTTCCCAACGGGGGGTGGTTCGCCGTTACTCGCCGGTACGGCGGATACGACTCTGGGACTCGCTCGTACCGGGAATTCAACTCCTGGATGTCAGATTACCTAAGGTAGGTACGCTATGGGATCGCATTTCACTTCGTGCCTTTGTTATTATTAGTTCTTCGGAATACAACGTACCACCACTCATTATTATCCACATGTAACCGTGCATCATAGGAAGTTGACTTGCCAATCCAGCCTCTCGCGGCAACCGTCTGTTCACTCTTTGCAGACATACTAATCAATTACCGGCACCTCGAACGACACAAACGGGCACCCCGTAATTATCCTGCAAATATGCATCCGTTACACGAACGCGGCACCCGCAACCGACAGCGTTGTCGGCAGTTCATTAAGGTACCCCGGGTAGCTGATGAGGACCCCCGGCACAATACACACAATAGGACAAACATCAAACACACAAGACTCAGTTCCATCACGCTATCTGTCGGGGCCACGGGACGTCGTCACTATAAAGTACGAATGTTGTCTTTGGACGTGTCTGTGAAATTATGTACTCAAGACAACACAACAACGAGTCTCATATAATTGCTTTTCCTCCGTACAACACACACTACAACAAACAAAAAGGAAATTACGCCAAGTTGCAGATCGAGCTCGTCCCACGGATACCTTAGGTACGAAGGACTGAAGTACGGATACCTACCTCACCTCACCTTACACTTCTCATGTCAAGCTGGGTCCGTGACCAACACTCACTCGAGATGCCGTTGCTTAGGACTCCCATGTGCTGTTATCACAAGGTCCTTGCGTGCTACTGTACGACGTGTCTTTTCTTTTCGCAACACGTCGAGTTATGGGAGTACGCTGGCAATTGGCAATAATCAGATGGCTCAACTTGGGCGTGTGGTGATACTAGGAAGTACACATACCGATAAGTACAACGTACGTTGTAAATCACCCAAGACCACCACTCGACGCACACGCACGAGGTCGCTCTTGGTACACGTACTTGCTGTACCTTATCCACCTTACCCCCTCGCTAAGGTAGCCCACTCGATAAGGTAAGGTAGCCCACATTCGCTCCCAAACAATGTGCGTGTGCCTGGTCCATACCTTACCTTAGTCTATCTAAGGTATAGACATTGCGAGACAAGACCATAATCTCGGCCCGTGTTTGTTGACCGACCAAGACCGTCCTGTCGAGCGGTGTATTTTACGTGTACTTCGCATCTCGTAATATGTAACTCCGTACTTTATTCGATCCGGTGTCTTGCCGTGGTCCATGGAGCATTTGCCGACGTCCGTTGAAATTATCCGTCCTTCGTAGAACATCGTCCTCGATGACATGGTCCCCTAAAAAGAAAGCCTAAGGTACTTTAGTGTACCTTTTTGGCCAGCCAGGTACGTATGTCCCCTTTTCCTAGTACCTCCTCGGTACAAAGGGAAGTATTCGTTCGTAATACCGTTCGTAACACACAGGACGCATGATAAGGCGGTTCTTGCAGACGATCGTCAACGCTGGCCTTGATCAACCCTGGGTACTGAACCCCTACCCCTGCTACCCCTGGTCGGCTGCCATTGATTTGTTTGGTCCCGCCTCTCCGTAGCCCAGCCCGCAACCCGCTGTGAGTGTACGTTGTATCATCACATTCCCTTCAAGCCCCCTCCTCCCCTCACCTTTCCACCCCTCCTGCCCACTTTGTACGAAGTAATATGTATCCATAACCTTATGTACCTACTTTGTCTGCACTTTCCGCTGTGTGTCCATAAAGGTATTTCGAACTTCGTATCCGTACTTATCTCGGAGGCATAATGTACTTCGTAGGGTAGGTAGGTACATGCATGTACGTTGTATGATCCCCGATCCCCGATTCCCGTGCTCGGCATCTGTAATCCGTCCTGTTGCTGTTGTCCTCGCAGATTCTTTCCCACCATCCATCCCTCTCACCATCTTTTATCTTTTGTGGTCTTTTCCCCCCCTATCCCCTCTTGCCTCTCCTTCCGTCGACTTGCCGTTCTTAGCTAGACCTCGTTCGTACTGATCGAACGTGGGCTTTCTTGCTCAACTCGCTCCCAGCTGTACGATTTCCTGTAGCCAATTCTCCTGACGTGGTGGTTGCACCGTGTTCACCTACCTTAGGTGCCGGGCCAGCCAATCTCTTTATACCTTTCTGGTCATCCCGGCAATCGTGCTCAACTGCCGACGCTTTTCTTGACCTGCCCTCATCTTTTTCTTCTTCCTTTTGTTCTTCTTGTTCTTCTTCTTTTTCAGCAGGCCCGGCGCGCCTCATCTTGGCGCCGTGTCATGATGATATCTCCGCCCTCCACGTCTTGATTTGCCCCTCGCTTCCGTTTTTTTTGCGACCTCATTTTTGCCCAACCTTCATGCCTCCTTGCCACATCTTGGGGTTCGTTCGTCCACCAGTGCGCCGCCGATACCAATGCCGCCGCCGACGTTTCAGATGGACCCTTCAGCTGCCACCGGGGCTCTGGAGCTTCCAGAGCTGGCCGTGTCCGATTATATCCGCCAGGTTCTCCAACTGCCTGGCCTCGAAGCCCAAGCGTCCTTCGAAGCGAATCTGCTTTCCAAAGCCGCGTCTTGGGACATTCCGATACCCGAGCCTATGTGCCTTTTCCCACCCGACGAGCAGAAGCGCAACACATCCAGTACCGAGTCCCAGGGCTCTACCGTCGCGACCTTCCATGCGCGGACCTTGTCCTCCATCTCTTGCGGCTCGGCGAGCACAGCTCCAACCTCGCGGTCTGTCATCGAGGACTTGGACGACCTAGAAGCCCTGCACAAGCCCGCCTTCTCCGGCAAGCCACGGGCCCCGAGCTTCACCCACTACGACAGATACCTTGCCCAGGTCGAGCCTAACTTGGACCAGCACCGACACCAACCCAAATACAACGAGTCCGAAACCCACGGATCGCCTAGCAGCTCGGCCCAAAGCCTGTTCAGTGTCAGTTCCAGAAGAAACTATTTCGGCATCATGAATGGGATGCGCAAGATCAGATGGGGAAAGAGACATAGTCTTGATCTTCACCGCTCCATGTGCGTTCCCTCCCCCACCCCCCGGTCGTTTGGCCGAGATCTCACCGTAAAAAAGTCAAGCGGCTCCATGTGTGCTGACGAACCAACCTTGGGCCTTTTCTTGCAGTGCTTGCACAAGTTGTCGCCAAGATTTCAGCAAGTTGAGCCGTCAACATACACTGCCCTGCCGCCACTCGTATTGCAGCCAATGCCTCAAGCAACTGGTCCAGCAGACCATCACGGACGAATCCAAATTCCCCCCACGATGTTGTACCCAACCCATACCGAGCTCGACCCTGAAGGCAATTCTACCCCGGGAAGACTCCCGCGAGTTCCTCCAAGTCGTACAGCAGTTCAGTACACCCTGGGAGTACCCCAACGGGTCTGAAGAGCCGGAACGGCGATGCGTGGAAGAAGACGAAGAAAAAGGAGCAGAAGCAGAAGCAGAAGCAGAAGCAGAAACCGGACAGGCCGCCGAGGAGGTCGAAGCCGCCGAAATCGCGCAGGCACAGGAGCGGCTATACGAACACAGCGAGTATCTGCGACTGCGACGCGACTTGGAAGACCAGCGGCGGCGGTTCCGGACGTTCGTGGACCAGAAGAAAGCCGGAATGAGGCAAAGGCACGCAGAAGGGAGGAGGAAGGTCACGGCCAAGTACGCCGAGCAAGCGGAGAAGATGCGAGAACGACACGCCAAGACGGCGGCACAGCTCGAGGAGCGGCAGATCGAAGCCGAGATGGAAATGCGGGCAACGCTAGAACAGGAGGAGAAGACCATCCTGATCCGGCTCAAGCACATGGAGGCCTACTGCGACGGTCTGGGCCGCAGCCCGGAGTCGGGCCTCCCACCACGCGTCGTGACGGAGCGCGACCTCCGCGAGCTCGGGCAGCAGTACAACCTCCGGGACGGCATGGCGCGGCTGCACGAATCCAAGATCAACGTGCTGAGGGAGAAGCAGGCAAGACGCATGGGCGATCTGCTCGCCAGGCAGGACGAGGGGCTGGAGAAGCTCGAGGCGGATAGGGACCGGGAACTGGATGACCTGGCGGGGGCCGCGGCGCTGGAGGAGGACGAGTTGGCCCGCGTGTTCCGCCAGCGCGAGCTCGAAGCCCAGCGGCTGTGGCAGGTGATTTTCGACATTTTGCGCAGGGAACTCGAGCAGAAGGATGGTGTTCGCTATGGTTCCCTTGACGCCCCGGCCGCGTGGCTGGAAAGCGATGAAGCTGACGCATCTTCATTACCGTCGGCGGAAGTCTCGTCGGATCCTTCGCGGCAACCTTCGACACAATGGTTGTCTCTCCTTTGATATGAGTTGGGAAACGGGGGGTTTTTCTTTTCTTTTCTTTCGGCGGATATACCACAGATGGCAGCATGTTTTCCTTATCTGGTCTGTTTGTTGGGTGTCAGCGCAACTCGAGGGCTTTTGTTTTATACCCACGGGGATTGGAGTTAATAAGATAAAACTGCGATATTCATTCTCGCGTTAAAACTGGTTAGAATGAAAGGTGTTAATACGAAGAGCACAAGGATATATTACATCTTCATGAACAAATTAACGGCAAGTTGAGAGGTTAACCAAACCATGATTCATTCATTGCCAATTCAGCGTGTCCGAAGCTCCCACAAGGTGAAACGCTGCTGCTTATTAAGCGGCCGACTATCTACATAATGTCAGTTATCAGTTCTCGGTCGCAGGCTTAGGTAAGATTAGCGGGTAACTCCGTACCCGTGTCCGTCAGTGGACAGGCAGGAAGGTCTGAGGTCTGAGGTCTGAGGTCTGAGATCTGCCTCGCGCCTCGAGAGCAACAACAAAGAGATTCGAGTTCCAATTCACCCACATCCTTCGTTTCCGTTGTCCGTCCACACCAACGAGGTCCTTCATCTTGGACCCTTGCCATTCCGAATCTTGTGCTGAATACTCAAACCACTTCCCACCCCGTTCAATAAAACAAGAGCACTCTCGAGCGACAAGCATCATCACATCACCATCATCATGCTCGTCTCCTTGACCGTCGGCAAGGTCGATGCCGGCGTCACGGTCCTCCTGACTCAAGACAAGCGCCTGGTACTACTCACTCAATACACCCCCCTCTCTCTGATGGCTAACCCCAACCCCTCCGGCAGATCGAGTTCCCATCCATCCTCCTCCCTCCCAACATCTCCTCCGGCAGCATCGTCGACATCACCGTAGGACGGAACCACGCCTCCGAGTCCAAAACCGAGCACGCCTTCCGCGAGCTCCAGGACCGAATCTACACCACCTTCGGCGCCCGGGAACCCGCCCGCCCGGTCCTCCGCTGCCGCAACACCACCCAAACCAGCGTCGTGCTCGAGTGGGACCCCGTCCAGCTCGCCACCGCCGACCTCATCTCCCTCTCGCTGTACCGCAACGGCCAGAAGGCCGGCAACATCCCGCGGCCCCTGCACATGCACAGCACCAAGATCAGCGGCCTGGCCATCGACACCGAGTACACCTTCCACCTCGTCCTCCGCACCACCGCGGGCGTCTACGCCTCGGACCGCGTCCACATCCGCACCCACAAGCTCACCGACCTCAGCGGCGTCACCATCGCCACCGGCATCCTCCCCAGCCCGGTCCGCGACGCCCTCGCCGCCGCCGTCGACCGCGTCGGCGCCAAGCTCGTCGACGCCGTCCGCATCGACACCACCCACTTCGTCACCACCGAGGGCCGCGGCCTCGCCTGGGAAAAGGCCGTCGAGAACAACATCCCCGTCGTGCGCCCCGAGTGGGTCGACGCCTGCGAGAAGAACGGCCGCATTATCGGTGTTTCCAAGTTCTACCTCGACGCCTGGCGGCCCGGGCCCCCCATCACCCACGGTGCCGATTCGTCGCCCGCCGCCGCCGCCGCCGCCGCCGCTAGCCCCCCGGCGCAGAAGGACCTGCCCGCCACGCCATCGCAGTCACAATCGCAACAGCAGCAGCAGCAGCAGCAGCAGCAGCAGCAACAACAACAATCGACGCAACCGCAGCAAGGTTCCTCCTCGGCGGCAAACAACGAGACAGCAGCCCTGGCAAATGAGACCGCCGCACCTGCAGCTCCTTCCAGGGGTTCCGTGAGCGGCTCCGAGAAGCCCGAGGACGACGACGACGACGACGAAGAAGAGAAAGAGGGAGGAGGGGACAAGGAACAAAAGACCCGCGGTGCCGAGGCGCACGACGAGCAGAAAGTGAGGCTCGAGGATAAGGGTGATCACCACCAGAACCTCGCCCTGCGGCCGGGAGGCGCCCTTTCCGCCGCTGTCGGCGACGACGCGAAGGCCGAGGATGACCAGCCCGTGTCGTCGAGTCGGGGATCACTTCAGGACGTTGAGCTGTAGTTCTGGCGTACTGGACTGACTACACTGGCCCGCCGCCCGGGGAGGGGTGGGGGGGAACGTCGGAACGGGGCAAAGGCAGTACAAAGTCTCTCTGAGGGAGGGGATTCATAGGGTTATTGTAATGTACAGACTTTTATAGCGGTGTGTCTCCCTGTGTGTGTTAGCGACATTGGTGATATCTTCCTACGGCATGGCATCGTGAGATGAGGCGAAGGAATGAAATGCATTCTCACTGAAGCCTCCGCTGCTACTCAGCAAGTCCATTGCAATCGATGCGATCTCGGATATATTGGAACGTAGACCAGGAACCAACAACCATGACGAGCAACAAAATGAACCCAACTACCTTATAATTCGTCGTTTGCGCGAATGACCGAGAGAACCCGAACACCCCCAATTTCTTATCTTTGCATCCGTTATGAAGCAAAAGAAAAAAAAAATACAGAATCGATCGTAGAAACACGTCCTCTAGCGACACCGTGCCACAGACCGATCACATACAATGAAGCACATCCTCCCTTATTACACAGTCATTCCATGTATGCCTAACATCTTGCTCACCTCTCATCGCGCTCGCCAACCCCGTAACAGTTCAACAGTCGCCCCGTCGACTCTCCTTGTCCACCCATGCCCCCTCCTCTTCTGTCGTCCTCGATTGGCTTCGCTCATCGAGGGTACTCCGCCGATCCCATTGCCACCCGCTGCTTCTCTCACTGTAGTCGTCCCCCATCCCATCAACGAGCCAGAGTCTTCAAGGACCCCGAGACTGGCTTTGAGAGTGGCCGTGGCTGCGTTCGCTTTCGCAAGCATTTGTCGAACGGGTAGGATCCGATCCCGCCAGACCTCGGCGATGGCTGATCCTCCTCTTGCCCAACATCGCCTCGGCAGGCTGGCTCATTGCGGTCGTCCCCTCTGCTTCGTCGAACCCGAAGGATTCCCTGGCACGCCCATGATGCCGAGACGGAATCGTGCGCTTGATGTCTTCCAGTGTCCGCTCGAGCTGGCTTAGGAAAACCATCTGCTTATGCTCCTGCCGCCGAATATCTAACTCCAGTCGCTTCTGATTGAGAAGAAGGTGTTGCGCTAAATCGGCAGCCCGAGGCTCGGACGATAAACGGATGCCGTAGGGGCTGTGATGCGACATGAGATGGTCAAAACCTGAGAGCTCGACACGGGTGTGGAAGAAGTCGCTATCTGAACGTGTCATCCACGCGCGAGAGCGGAAGAGGTCTTGCGCCGGTGGCTGTCTTCCAGGACTAGACAGCTGTCGGACGTCGATGAACGACGGCTGGCTTGGCTCCGATACTGGTGCTTCATCCGCCGTCGTAGTGTATTGCTGAGCCGGAAAATCGCAAGGGGTCTGGGGAGGTGTGGGTTCTCCTGGAACCAACTTCGAAGCGGGAGGTTCTGAGACGGACGATGTGCTCGAAGCAGGACACGAGGGAGACCAAAGGTCCACGGATGGCGTCATAGGTTGAACGTCGACGACGGGCATGATGGCGCTCAGTCTTGGGGTCGGATCTGGCCTGGGTGCAAAGGTAGGCATTTCGTTATCCACGTCCTCTTTCTCCCGCGACTCTGCCTCCTCATCACTGTCTTGTTCCGGGGGCGGGGCCATGTAGCTGAGGCGGGAAGACACGAGCCTTTCCTGCTCCGTGCGAGGCAACGTTGCAGAATCCGAGCGGCGATGGGGAGTTCTCTGGCTCTCGGTATGGTCCGTTCCTTGCACGAAGCTGGCCTCCGATGGCTCGTAGCTGCTGAAGCGCTCGAGGAGGGGAACCGAGCTTGCCCAGCTGGTCCGAGTAAAACTGTTGAACCGTAAAGGTAGCATGGAGCTGACGGTACTGGTCCTCGCGGATGGAGCGTCTTCTGGCATGGGCGGCCTCGCGCTGCCGGGCTCCAAGAGGCGAGGATGACGGCCGCCCTGGTGGGGGTGCGACGAAGACTCCGAAGGCTCTTCGCGGTGATCTTGCCCGTCCCCAGCCGAGGTCATGGCGCCAGAAGGACGGCTAGAAACGGGTGGATCCAAACAGACGATGGGAGTCGATTCGAAAACATCTTGCTCAGCCGTAGGAGGCCGTGGAAAGTTGTCGGCAAGTTCTGCGACGCAGGGACCGCCATCCCGAGAAGGCAGGCGTAAGGAGCTGATAGCTGTCTCGGCTGTTTTGGGTCGCTGCTCCTCCCGAGGCGGAGCATCGGGTTCGCAATCTCGCGACTGCTGCGGCTTTGGCAATTGTTTCCGGGCTGCTTCCATATCTCGCTGCTTCAAAGACCTGACCTTCTCGGCGCGGCGGCTCTTTCTCGAGGCATTCGTGCGCGTCGATGATTTGCGAGCCGGCGTCCTGGACCCTGTCTTGTCCGTCTTCTCTGTCTTGTCCGTCTTCTCTGTCTTGTCCGTCTTCTCTGTCTTGTCCGTCTTATCCGCTACATCCCCGCCACCCGTGACATCCATGATTTGACTCAACAAGGGCGGAGAATACCGCACCGCTGGTAGCAGGAATGGCGAGTCTAGGGTCTTTTGCTCTGACGCTAGGTGTGGAGCGCTGGACATTGTCGTAGCGGGTTCTTCAGTGGTCACCCGCGGCGGCTTCGCGGGATACGAGTCAACGACAGAGCTGAGGCCACACCCCTCGCGGATCCGACTCGGCGTCTCAAGCACCCTCCGCGTGGACGGCTTGCCGGGCGTGCTCGCGAGTGGGCCAACCGGTGCTTTCAGGCTTGACTTTCTCAGGGGCAGCTGAAGACGATGTGACCGGTGAGTCGAGAAACGGGACGACGGTGATGGCAGCGGCTTCGTAGGAGGAGACATCAGTGGGGCCGGCGGCGGACCTCCGGCTGACTCCAGGGGATGAGTAGTGGTCAACCAGGAAACGTGAACCTGGCGAATACGCTCCTCGACGATGCTTTCCGGGGTTTTAGGAGTTGGCGTATCTGACCTCGAAATCTCGACAAAGTCGTTCGGATCCATGGGCAAGGGGGCACGTGGAGTGTGGGCGGGGGTCGTCCCCGACCTGCTGCCAAGCGAACTCCCGGCTGAGGTAGCGGGCGGCGACTGAGGTGGACTGATGGGAGCCTGGCGAGGCCAAAGACGAATAGACGCATTTGAGTCTTTGGTCTGAAGGCTGGGCATTCGGGGCTTTCCGGTTCCCTTGGAGAGGTAGTCACGATCCCCGGGTTCCAGGGGAGGCGAAGGGGGGAGCGGTTTGGTGGCGTTGAAAGCGGTGGCAGACCAGTCCGAGTTGGGACCCAAATGACAATGCTCCATGGGAACGGAGATGGCGATGTGGGAACGGCCCCGTGTTGTTTTAGCAACTACCGCGGTGCCGGGCAACTTGGGCTTGGGCGGAACGTCGTCTGAGGTGGCCGAATTGGGCCGCTGGATGCGAAGACGGAGTTTGTTCCTCAGCTGCTTCCACTTGCCCCGTCCCTCGACGGTGTCCGTCTCGTCATCGTCAAAGACCGATGTAAGGTGATTCTGGGGTGGTGGCGGCACGGTCCGTAGGAACTGGATGAGGTCGCCCATGCTGGCTCGATCCTTGTCGTCTCGGGCACGGGCACGAGCACGGGTCCGGCGGCAATCCAAGGAGGCAGAGGAGTCGACGACTTCCGCCCCGCGCTTGCGCATAGCTTCGCCAAGGAGGTTGTTGGAGGATTTGGCGCGAGGAAGGCCAGTCTTGTCGGCGGCATCCAGTGCGAAAGAAGAGAAGCTAGAGAAATTAAGCCTCGGAGCACCGGCAAGCGAAGAGGCGACGGTAACCTCGTCCCGAGGAAAAGAGGGGGACCGACTTCCCTGTATCGTAGTCATTTCTGGCAAGGGGCGACGAGAAACACTACATGCGCACTGTGGACTATGGTACCAACGGGGTATGCTGTACTGTATGCTACTGACGAGCAGTGAGAGATGGGGGGAATGGAGGAGGGTGTCTCGTCTCAGCAGCAAGGCGGGGAATCAGACAAGAGGCAAGGTGAACGCAGGGGTTTGAATGAAAGGAATGGACAATAGACAAACGAGGAACGAGGAACGAAGTAAGGGACAGGAAAGCAATAGCACCAGACGAAGTTGAGGAGCCCAAGACTGGCATGCATGAGGAACTGGATGATATCGCCGGGTCTTATGAGAGAGCCTAACAACCAGAACTCTTGGGGAGGCGCTGCACTGCAGATATCAAGGGGGTCTGCCCGAAGGGGGGTATCAGAGAGGTGGGTAAAGGCCGATATATCCCTCGAGCATCAATACGCAGTCCTCGCAAAAAGCATCAAGAACCAAGTCGAGAGTTGGGTGCGTCAACAGGCAAGAGTCGGGGAGGCGAAAAAGAAACGGACATGTAACGGACCAGCCTATGGTGATGGTCCGTCATCTTTTCCGTCTGGGCCTGCTTCTGGCTACTGTAGCGATAAGAAAGTGAGTATGCACCTGACTGAGGTGCGAGACAAGCTCTGCCATGCAGCAAGGGATGGAAGAAGAGGGAAAAAGAGGAGGGGGGAGGCCGGCAGAGAGGGTGCATATGCTTCCAGTGGTGAGCTTTGCATGAGCGGCTTTCTTTCTTTGTGCCTCCCTTGTATTCCAAAGGTTCAGAGGTCCAAAGGTCCCAGGCCTTCTGCCATGTTGACCTGTCTGAGCCTCTAGCATGTCTTGCCGCAGCACGAGGGCGACAAAACTGGGAGGAATACCATGATTCGATACCGGAGACTGCGAGACAAGTCTTTGCGGCAAAGCTCGTGCTCAAGACATGGGCAGACACGTCTTACCAGTACTCCGTAGTGCGTTGCCCTATGCGGGCTGTCATGATACTGACGTCGTCATGCTTCGAGTCTTGACCATTCCACGGGGCGAGGTTGGCGGCAAAATAAACATAATGTAATAAATAAACATGATATAAATTGGGAAGTCGGGGGGTTTGGGTTTGCTCCACGGCAAACAATAGTACCAATTGGTCGGTCCGTTTGGCTGAGATTTGACTGATCATAGGCATGGAATGCGAGAGGAGGGCTAGCAAGTGCTGTGGTAGCAGCAATTCGATAGTCGAACGTTGCTTTTTGCTCAAACTCGAAGCTGTCCGGCGTGGCGCCGACGTTGCCTAGCGCGGTAATTAGCGGGCATTGGAGGCAGGGAAGAAGCAAAAGCGAAGTTGGAACCCAAAGAAGCGACACGAGAGTGGTGGATGAACTGTGGCTGGCCGAGATTCGGGCGATGTGGAGGAGGAGCGAGGAGATACCCGAGGCAGTCGCACGGATCCCGGGATCGGTCTTGCCTTCAAAACTTTATTATTATTATTATCGATCTTACTCCGCTATCCTAACTAATCTATAGGAGCCTTTTTAGGCTATACGGTCCTTCTCGGGTGGCTATAGGAGGGAAAACCCGGGTAAAACCCGGGGAAAACCCTTATACACTTCCTTAGGTGGAGTGGTACCGCTACGGGGCTGATATAGCCCCGGTTTATCTTTGCTATATATCTGGATCGTACCTTTAGGCTAGTGGCTAACGGGAGGTATAGTAGGCTAGTAGTTAGGTAGGTTAGCCTAAGCCGATCGTTAGCGACGGAGTAGGGCCGAGGGGGTACCGCTGCGCCTCCGTGGTACGGAGGCTATAGTCCTTTAGCCTCGGCCTCCCTGCGTCCCCGAGGATCGTGCCTTTTATTCCTTCTATTCGGTTAATAAACAGAGTAAGGGAGGTAGGCGCCTCCTACCTCCCTTAAGTAGGTTCCTGCTATATCCGGCGGCAGGTAAGGGGAATAAGGCTCTACCCTATTATAGAATTAGATAGTTAATATCCCTTAAGGTCTTTATACCTCTTTTTCCTCTTTCTTCCTCCTATAATACTAATAAGTTTATTATAGGTTTTCTCCCGATCTATTCCCGCTTATAGTGCCGTAGGCTTAATATTACGGCTTTATACTAATAGTAAAACCCTTTAGTTTCCCTTGTTTATTTTCCTATTATAACTAGACTATAAGTGCTTAGTAGGTAGCGCCGCGGTGGCGTGGTAGCGTGGGGTTAACTAGGTAGTATAGTATTAATTTATATATACGAATAATTAAGTGGTAGTAGTAGTATAATATAAGTTCTCCTAATAGCGTAATAATGCATTAGTAGTAGCGTGCTAATAGTCGTAGATATTATCTCCTAATAATAATACTAATAATAATTATAACCGGTATACGAAGGGCTCGGTTTAGGTTATACCGTATATATCCCCTAGTAGTATCGGGGCGGTACCGTGGTGGCTAACCTAGTATAGTTATATTCGTTATAGTAAGCGCTTAGGTATATACTCGGACAACGTAGAGGCCTACTCTAATACCACGGGTATAGGGGTAGCTTATTTTTAGTATACTAATAGCCGGTGTCCGTGTAAGAATATAAGTCGTATCGATATCGTTATAGTACTATAGGTATATCGTGGTAGTATATACTAATTTTCCTTTAGGTCCCCCCCGCTATTAAAAAGTAGTAGTAGCGTCTTATAGATCTTTATAGGGCGTATATAGTAGTAAAGGCCGCCGGTAATAACGGTGTCGCTACTATATATCTCCCCCTTTAGTGCTAAAGTGGTCCCCTACTAATAAGCTATAGGCTAAAGAGCGTTTAGGGACAGCGTCCTAGTCTTTTAGCCGGGCCCTAAACCGGGCGCTACCTTCCGGTTATAGCCGTAGCGGCCCCGTATCGGCGGAGGTATAAGGATTATCTTATTAGATAAAACGTTTAGAGGGTAAAATAGACCTTATTCTAAAGCACCTTATAAGTAGCCTCTTTTCGGTCTCCTTACGGTATTATAGTGGCGGTAGTTAGCTAACCGGTCCTAGTAGGGCCTAGAATATATTAAGAGTGGTATTAGCGCTACCAAGGACGATAAGGATAATAATAACTAGGGCGATAATAGCTAATAGCTATTAGTGGCCCCCCCTAGCGCCGAGATAATACTGCTAGGGTCCCGGCTTATAGGACCCCTATTAATAATTAATAGATCCGCCGCATTATACTACCTCCGCTCCGGTCCCGCTTTAGTATCCCCTTTATTTTCGTAGGCCTCTATAACTTTAAGGGCGAGGCGAAAGTCTTTAAGCCTCTTCCGTTATAGGAACCACCTTATAACTGCCCCGGCTTCGGTATCGTGTTCTAGTGCGTTATATAAGTCTTTCTTAGTCGTGAGTGGCCTCCTTACGGCACCGAAGAGGCCTTTACGGTCCTCCGCGGCTACCTCCTAGCACTAGGGTACTATATACTCTGTCGTTTCCGCCCCTCCGTCCCTATAGGGGTACCGCGGTAAAGGGAAGCCCGGTACCCTCGCTTTAGCTAGGAATGCCCGTAAGCCTAGTTTTTCTAATCTAATCTAGGTAAGTACGGAGCTTTATAGTTTAAGGAGTCCTCTATATTTCCGGAGGGAGCGTTATATCGGGGGGCGGCTTAGTGCCGTTATGGCGTAGGTATAGGGCTATTATGCTTCCGCCTAGGCTTAACCCTATTCCCTTATAAGGGCCTTCCGCGGGGGTAAGGTTCCGGCCTAGGCTATTAGGGCGGTAAGCTATACCGTCTACGTAAGGGCGGCGTAGGTCCTATAATACCGGTTCGGTACCGTTAAGGCTCTCGCCGCGGCGTTTACTCTGGCTAATATCTTATCTTCTATCCCTTCTTCTTATATCCGAAGGATCTTTCGGGCACTTAGGCTTAAGAGGTATAGGTTAAGGGGGGGGATAAAGGTCTTTTTTTCAAGGACCCTAACCGGCGTGGCTTTATAGGCTCCGGCTACTAGTCGGAGGTATCGGTTCTATACCGCTATAAGTACCGCTACAGGGCCGTGCCGGGGGCCGGCCCCTATCTTATAGACGGTTAAGGCGTAATAGGCGATTATTAGTCATATAACCACGAGGTATAGTCTCCTTATATCTATAAAGCTATACCTCCACGTTACTGCGCTAAGCCTTAAAAGGGCGTATATTTAGGTGGCTAGGCGGCTTTTTACCTTTTTAGTGTTTCGCCGGAAGTTAAGCTTCCTATTAAGCTAAACGCCTAGGAGCCTTATCGCCTCCGCCGCCGGCACCGAAGTAGTACCGAGGGGGAGCGGGGTGGGTAAGGGTTAGCGTGACTTCGTAAAGGGGATATAAACGTATTTAGCTAGTTCGAATTATAATCCGCTCGCTATCTCTTAGTTTAGGTATATCCGCTACGCGGTAGCAAGGCGTTACTGCGTTTATACCTCCGTCCTGCTAAAGGCGATAATATTCGTGTTATCGGCGAAGCCTATTACTATCGTTTTAGGAACTCTTTCTAGTTCTTCGTATAGGGTAGAGATATAGAGGATAAAGAGGATAGGGAGATCGGGGAGCTTTACGGTACGCCCTTACGGAGGTATCGTGGGGGGGCCGTTTTGCTATTAAGTAATAGCTAGGCTATACGGTCTTTAAGGAAGCTACTAATTAGGGTAGTAAGCTACCGGGGGAAGCCTTTCCTTTTAAGTACCTTAAGGAGGCAAGAATAAGGGATAGTATCGAAGGCGCCTTTAATATTTAGTTAGAGTATCGAAGCGGTGCCGCTATAGGCCTAGCTCGCCCTTATAGCCTCCGTGGCTTTTTATACTACTATCTCTATACTTCGCCCTATCCGGTTAATTATTTATCCCTCTAGGAGGAGCCGATACTCCTCCGCTATAGTCGCGATCCGGTCGGCTAGTATCCCCTTAAGGACCTTACCTATTATACTAAGGAGTAATATCGGTCGTTAGCCCTTTACTATCCTATAATCGGCCGGCGGCCGGCCTTCCTTCTTAAGGACTACTATAGTAGCGTAGCGGCACCTTTTCGGGTAGTAGCTTATTTTAAGGCACGCTATAAAGATAGCACTAAGTCTTTAGTATAGGGGGGGTCTATATACTTTTAGGAGCCCTGCTAGGAGGCCGTCGGGGCCTAGTATCGCCTAGGGTTTTATTTTCTTAAGGCGCCCCTATATATCCGCTACGGTAATATCTCGGCGGATATCCTACCCCGGGGGGAATTCCGCGCTTAGGGGCCTAGGGGTGGTAGGGAGGGGGGGGGGAAGAACTTCCGGTTTAGAACTTCGGCCTTTTTTACGTGTATAGTTACCGGGTAGTCGCTATTATCTTAGTATAGTGGTAGCACCGATAGGGGGTTTAGTAATACGCCCCCTTTAGTTCGTGCCTATTTCTATAGCCGCTAAAGAAGGCTATCGTCCTTTCTGGTTAAGTAGAGTAAGTGCCGTTAGTATATCCGCTTCGCTACCGCCACGGCCTTATCTTAGCGCCTCTCCGCTTCCTAGAACTTATCCTATTAGTTCCGGGACTTCCTGGATATATATCTACGGTAGAGGCGCCTTACTTCCTAGGTAAGGGCGGTTAGCTCCGCGTTCTATTAGGGGGTAGATAGGCGTTTAGGAGTGCCCTTATAGCGGCGCGGCGCGGCCTTATCGGCTATATTCGTAAGGTCTACTATTAGGTTATCTAGTGCTAAGTCGATATCTTCTAGTAATATAAGGGGGCCGGTCTACTATAGCCGCGTAGCGAGCTAGGGGACCTATAAGGGGTCGAAGTCTTTTTAGACCTAGCGGGGCCCGGCTAGGTCCCGCGGTAGTATCGTCGCGGTAATCGGCGAGGTATCTATCTCTATAAGGATTCGGGCCGTCTATAAGTAGTAGTTAGACCCGATAACGGTTTTATCCGGGCCGCTAAAGTTATAGCGGAGCCTTTATATTACCTATATAAGGTTAATAGTACTAGTACGCCGGCCTGGGTAGTGCTATATAGTTATTCCGGGGGGGGTTATTAGGTTAAGGTTCTACCGGGTTATAAGGGTAAGTAGGGTATCGGCTCGGGGGTAGTACCGTGGTGGCTATAACTATAGGGGGTAGTATAGGTTAAAGTCCCCTATAAGGACGTATCGGCCCTATAGCGGTACTGTATCGAATATATCTTATAGGAGCGTGTTTTAGGGGATCTTAGCTAACTAGTAGTTCTTTAAGTAGATCGACTAGATTATAAGGGTATTATCTCCGGTCCTGAATATAACCGTGTAGGTATTATAGTAGGCCCGCTACGCCTATATATATAGCGGGTATCTCTTATAGATATATAGGAGGGCGCGGCCTCCTCCTTAGATTAGCTAGTATACCCCTTAGGAGGGGTAGGCGGGGCTTTTTATAAAATTATTAAGGCCGGGTTCCTAGATTACTATTATATTATATTCGGCGCGGTATTAGAGCGGTAGCTCCCGCCGCGCCTAACTCCTCCCTATATTCTATAAAAGGACGTGGATTTCTATTCATTAGAGGGGGGGGGGGGTTAAGACGACATGCCCGGTGTAGCCGGGGTCTGGCTCTAGGGTTCCTACTATAGTGCCTTACCGGTCCCGCGAGGGATTATATAGGCGCTTATAGGGCCCGGTGTCGGGGAGCCCTTATATCCTTTAGTCCTTTTCGGGGGGCGTCCACGGCCCTTACGGAGGGGCCTATCCTAGTCCTAGGCGATAATAAGCGGGGGGAAGATCTACGACTACTATAGGTATACCGTTTTAGTCTAGCGGGTACTATCGAAGTCCCTGGCTTAGTATTTATACGCTTCGCGAGTCTTCTCGGCCTTTTTCTTAAGTAGCCGGTATAAGTCGTTAAAGGTGTTATAGTCTCCGGTATAGGCGGTATAGCGGCGGGGTCGGCCGGGCGCCGTAGCGTTATAGTACCTTAGGCCTTATAGGTGCGCTGATTCGGGCTTAGCGTAGTAATAGTATACCTTTTTTACCGCCGGGTAGCCGTTAGCCTTATAGCCGAAGTGTAGGCACTTATAGTACCTTAGGGGGCTAAGGTTAGGATTATATAGTTTATAGATATAGCTGCCCCCTTTAAAGAGGAGGGTATTCCGGATAAGGCTTATTACCCATTCCGGTAAAGCCGATTCGATAAGGAGGAGCGTTACCCTACCGGTGCCGCGGCGGGGTACTCGCTATCGCGCCCGGAGAATTTTAGCCTCGGGGTTTATATCTTATAGGGATACTAGTAGGTCCTCCTCGGATAGGGCGTTAAGGACCTCCCGGGGGATAGCCTTAGTAAGCGTAGGGTAGGTTCGCGCGGTTAGGGTGGCTTCTTTACTAAAGGTCTTTTTAACCTAATACTCCTTATAGGTAGTCTACTACTATACCCTTTTAGTAAAGGTAAGGCAGATATTACTATTAGGTAGCTTCCGTGCCGCTACGGTATCGTATCGGGTAATCGTAGCATTTATAGCTTAAATAATTTCCTTAGGGGTCCTGGCTCTAAGGGGCTGGTTTTCGGGGAGGGTTTTTTAGCGGACTATTAGCTCCTAATAGTGCTTAGCGGGGATTATTTTAAGGGGGCGGGGTCCCGTAGCGGTATTACTACGGGTGCTCGGGCTATAATATTAGCCTAAGTCTCTCTTATACCGCTTATTCCTTTTCGGAGTTCCTTACGGATAATATAGCGGACAGTTACGTATAGGTGTATTAGCGGTGTTATACCGGTATTCTTACGGGTACTACGTATCGTGATTAGTTTCTTTACTAGCTCTACGACCTAGTTAATCGTGTTCCTATTAGCTAATAGGGCCTGAATTTCTGCCCTGATCTTAGTTACTCTTAGTTCCGGGGGGCGCAGTAGTCCCCTTTCGGTCTTATATCGGTTCCGCGCTATATCCTGCCACGAGCGGGGGGGGGAGCGCTTATATTACGAAAAGTGGGTCCGTTACGAATTCTATATAGTTAAGGTCGGGGCGACGCTATACCATGACTCTTCCGGCTATACCGTAGCTCCGGTATTACGGTGCCGCTACGATAATATCCCGGGAGGGAGGTAGTAGTTATAATCTCTATCCTAATAGTTTTATCGATTTTGCTCTTATTACTCGCCCGTGGTTAATAGGCGTGTCGATATCGAGTGTCGAATTGACTTAGGCGGTGGTTGGCCTTTAAAACTTGCTTACAACGTAGACTAGAACCGCCCAGGTGGGAAGTAAAGGAAAGAGGGACCGGGGCTCGGATCCGGTGCAGCTGCTGTCCGTTCGTACGAAGTACAACGTACATTGGCCTAGGCCCTACACTACATACCCTGTCTTGACTTTCCGTTATGAGTCTACTTGTCGTGGCTACCGGGCTAAACGGAGAATGCAAGGTACTCTCCTGACAACATGGAAGTACCTATCGAAAGCATTTCTTGGGATCAGGGGTGAGCTGAGAATGTCCTGTCCGTTGGTGGTTCTTACCTTTCCATCATAGCCCATTGAGACAATGTCTCGTGTTGCACTCTTCCTTCCTTCTATGACATTGGTACGAAATCTCACTTCTCCCTTGTCTGGGGTTAGCCTCCAGCTATGTATGACTAGGTACGATATTTACGGATAGAAAATAGAATAGTGGCGAATACCTTACAATAAAATACCACGAGAGTACCTACCTTGTAGTAGGCCAGTTGGTGGGTTTGGACAGAATGAGTGCGAAGTTGCTTTGCCTCAAACAAGCACAGCTTCGAGACTCCCTCAAGGACCGCATCAGCGCTACTGCAAGCTGTTGCTTTGGGGCATGATGTTCTGTTTGCTGGAACATGCAGGAGCATGCACATGTCGGAGCAGGAGCAGCATTCATAGCAACAACCAACACACACATGCGTATACCGGACCTTACTTCGCTCACCTCAGTGCGAGAGGTTCTGCCCAGAACTCGCCTCTGGAAACGTTCGTGCCACACCTTTATACGATGCACCATCTCTCGCTCCCGGGATTGCCATCCATTTCGTCTCAGTTGTTCCGCAAGAAAATACGTCGCTACTTATCTATACAGTGTTTTGGGTCATCTCCTTCTACCTCATTCGGTAGCTGTAACAGAAAAAAAAAAAAAAAAAAAAAACCAGGGTTGCATCGTATTTGTGCTAGCAGGACGATCCTGTGGGGAGTGTATCCAGGGAAGGTCGTCGCATATCAGGGCGATGTACGATGTACCATGGCGCACCTGCTCGGCTCCCCACATCCCCGTTCTAGGCCGCCTCCCGTCCCGGGGCCCGGGACCCCTCGCAGAGACAGTCAAGGTGCCCAGTACGTACTCAGAACGTACAAAGTACCTAGAACATGTCTCTTACGGCTTGTAAGGCTTGGGCCCGACCATGAGCTCAGGCCGCACCAGCTGATCGAACTCCTCCGACGTCAGGGCGTTGAGCTCCATGGCGCTCTCCTTGAGAGTCAGGCCCTTCTTATGCGCGTTTTTGGCAACCTTGCTGGCCATGTCGTAGCCGATCTTGGGGTTCAAGCAGGTCACCAGCATGAGACTGAATTTCACTGTTAGTCGTCTGGACAACAAAAGGGGCTACCGGGGGGGGGGGGGGGGAAGGAGGGAAAAAAAGGAAAAAAGAAAGAAAAAAAAAAAACTCACGATTCCTTCATAATGCTGGCAATCTTCTCCTCGTTGGCCTGGAGGCCCTCCACCAGGTTCTTCTCAAACGACCGCATGCCGTCGGCCAAGATGCGCACGCTGTGCAGCAGGTTCCGGATCACCAGCGGCTTGTAGACGTTGAGCTCGAACTGGCCGTTCATGCCACCGATGGTGGTGGCCACGTGGTTGCCCATGACCTGGGCGCACACCATGGTCAGCGCCTCGCACTGGGTCGGGTTGACCTTGCCGGGCATGATGCTGCTGCCGGGCTCGTTCTCCGGCAGGTTGAGCTCGCCGAGGCCGCAGCGCGGGCCGCTGCCGAGGTAGCGGATGTCGTTGGCGATCTTGCTCAGCGACCCGGCCAGCGTGTTGAGCGAGCCGTGCGCCTGGACGATGGCATCGTGCGCCGCCAGCGACTCGAACTTGTTGGGCGCCGTCCTGAACTCGGTGCCCGTCATCTTGCTGACCTCCTCGGCGATGCCCTCGGCGAAGCCCTCGAACGTGTTGATGCCCGTGCCGACGGCAGTGCCGCCCTGCGCCAGCAGCCGCAGGTCCGGCAGCGACGACTCGACGCGCGCCACGCCCGCGTCGAGCTGCGCGACGTAGCCCGAGAACTCCTGCGCCAGCGTCAGGGGCGTGGCGTCCTGGAGGTGCGTGCGGCCGATCTTGATGACCCCCTTGGCCTCGAACTCATCCACCTTGTTCTGCAGCGCGTCGCGGAGGCTCTTGATGGCGGGGACGAGCTCCCTCTCGATCTCGAGCACGGCGGCGATGTGCATCACCGTCGGGAACGTGTCGTTGGACGAGGCGCTGCGGTTGACATGGTCGTTCGGGTGGACCGGCTTCTTCGTGCCCATCTGGCCGCCGAGCATCTCAATGGCGCGGTTCGAGATGACTTCGTTGGCGTTCATGTTGGACTGCGTGCCCGAGCCCGTCTGCCAGACGACCAGGGGGAAGTGGTCCATGAGCTTGCCTTCGGCGACTTCGGCAGCGGCTTGTTGAATGGCCTTGCCAATCTCGGGGTCTGGTGTGGAGGGGGGAGACGAAAAAAAAGAAAAAAAAAAGAACGTTAGTCCAGACGAATGCAAGGAAAAAGCCAGTTGCTGTTGTTCCTGTTGTCATGGTATGGTCGAGAGCTCTCACGTACCGAGACCGTAGCGCATGTTCACGGTGGCAGCGGCACCCTTCAAAATACCGAAAGCCTTGACGATCGGAGGCGGCATGCGGTCCTGGGGCTGGTTGATCTTGAAGTTCTCGAGCGACCGTTCCGTCTGGGCACCCCAGTACTTGTCGGCGGGCACCTGAATCTCGCCAAAGGCATCGCTTTCGGTTCGTGTGGCAGACATCCTCGCGTTCGTGGTATGTAGCCCTCTCGCGTGGGTAGTAGATGTGATGAGCGGAACTCTAGGCGTGGCCGACAATGACGACGATCGAAGAATGTAGGAGCTAGAAGTAGAGGCGGAGGAGGAGGAGGAGGAGGAGGAAGTGGTCGACAGTAGCGCCTGCTTCTGCTGCTGCTGAAGTCGGAGTCCGCATGCCCTCGGCCCAAGGCCACGGGAACTGGAGCCAGCCACCCATGACTTGACCGAATGAGGGGCAGCGCCCCGAGTTGATGCGACGGATCGGAGCATGATTTGTTGTCTCACAGTTTATAGTGTGTACTCTCAATTGATGACGTACAAATTCACGTGCAAAAAAAGGTGCTGAGCTCGCTTCAGGCCGGGAACCGACTAACAATAAATTAAAATGAAAAAGGGGCAAGAAATCCGTTTCGTTCCCCTTTTGGCGATATCTATGTCTCTGCGGGGGTGGAAAAGGAGAGAAGTGGGAAAAGAAGAGGGAAAAGAACGAATTGAGAACCCAATGAAATAAATTACACAAAAAGAAAAAAAGTTGCCTCGTCGCCTTGACGATCCTGGAGCCGATTCACGGTTCCGATTTCGATCGAATATTCCCCTGGTCCGGTTTGCCGGAAGATTCTCTCGGGCTCACTACTCCGTTTGGCAAGCCCAAAGCCAATACGTAGGGTGTCCGCTACAAGTAGTACATGTACATACATACGCCACGGGACAAGGCATAGGGCGGCGTGAACAGGACCGTGGCCACAGCAATAGGTGCATGCGAAGACTTGACCGTATGTGTACATATACATGTATGGCCCGGCAGTAACTGTCACGATGAAGCACGGTACATTTCTGTGGAGGTCTGCTCCGACGCCAACAACAAGTGCATAGGAACAACGTTTATCCAGATTAACAAATCTCCCCAGCCCGACTTATCCCGACTACCTAATTTATCCGACGGTGCGTTTCCCTCTGAAGGTAAAGATGGAGTTGTTCATTGAAGCAGAGATTCCAGGACTCTGTAGGTAGGTAGGGGAAAACGAGGGACTATCTAACTGTCAGGGAAAACAATCCGGATTCTTTGGAAATAAAATACCCCAGAGTCCCAGCGAAGACAACTTTGCGATCAACCCTCACGATGTTGTCGATATATTTAGCTCTAGGGCAGGAGCTAGCCTAGTGGATCCACGTAGATCTTTCTGTTGGATTTAATAAGGGTAGCGTTAATTTTGAATGAGTGTAGTATCGAGGCCTGAAGATGAAATAGATGTCCGGGACAGGTGAGATGTTTTGAGATGTTGTCTTGGTGAAGTTTTGTGTGACAGCAGCTAATACCTTGGGAAAGCAGGGTACCAAACCAAGAGAGTTTAGTCTCGGTGAGCTTCGGTGTAATACCAGTCTTGGAATGTCATTGCATCATTGCATCACTGAAGTCACATTGGAGAACTATGTTTTTTGAAACGCTCACACCTTCAAACTTCCAATCTCCAAAAAGATACCATATTTCCAGTTCATAACAAACAAACGCCATTTATGTTGTTGGTCGCTTGATTCGTAGACAGGGACATAGCATAGCAACGAGAAATCAGAGACCATGGACATCCTCAAGCCCAAACAGTCCCAACAGGCCCAATCCGATGGACTGCTTGTCTGGATCGATTGTGAGGTGAGTTTTATCAAATGACTTCTTTCAATCTCTCTTTCTCTATCTCCCCTTTTTCTTCTATTTTTTTTTTATCCTTCTCACTTCTGGTCCAAGACAAAGTATACTGATAGAAGCATGATCCAACCGTATCATAGATGACGGGCCTGGATCCCGAAAAGGAGGAGATTCTCGAGATCCATTGCCTAATCACCACCGGAGACCTGGAATTACTGGACGAGGAAGGCTGGGGCACGGTGATACACCATCCAAAATCGCGGCTCGATCAGATGGACGAGTGGTGCACACGCACCCACGGGACGACAGGGCTTACGGATGCCGTGCTCGCATCGACAACGACTCCCCAACAAGCCGCCGAGGGCCTGCTCGCGTATATCAAGCGACACGTGCCGGAACAGCGCACGGCGTTGCTGGCCGGCAACAGCGTGCACGCCGACCGGGCATTCCTGGCCAAGCCCCCGTACGCCGCCGTGCTGGAGTACCTGCACTACCGCCTACTCGACGTAAGCACCATCAAGGAGGCCGTGCGGAGGTGGTGTCCGCCGGTCGTGCTGCTCGTGGCGCCCTGGAAGAAGGGCGTCCATCGCGGGAGGGAGGATATCCTGGAGAGCATCGCCGAGGCGCGGTACTATCGTGATGCCGTATTTGGCCTTACGTGGAAGGGAAAGGATGTCGAAGGAGAGGAGACACCGGCGAGCGAGAAGGATGCGGAGGAGGCGTGGGCGGATAATTTGCTTTGAGCGGAGGGGTTTTTTCAGGGGCGGCGTCTCTCGTGTCAACTTCTGTCACGGAGTACTTCTAAACGTAGCTTTACTATGGGATTAATTCGTCTTCGTTTTCTTCCTAAAGATTTGGTCAATAGATAAACTGAATTCCATAACATAGGATCACCAGTCAGTCTACGCAGTAAGTCGACAAACCTGGTCTGACCACCGTGGTTACCTTATTGTTACCTGGCGAAGCGCGTGTACTGATACTCGTATCCGTATATATATCCAAAGCGTATTCCGAGTACCTGTACAGCGCACGGAGTAGGTAGCTATTCGCGTAGGGTGTACCCCGCTCTGTCCCATTCTCACTTCGTGTAAGGTACCTGTGGTGGTGATTCAATTAGGGCCTATCTAAATCTCCGGTGACCACTCATATCAGGACCTGATGTCACGGTGATGATTTCAGGTACCTACACTAGAAGTGGTACCTCTCTTTACCATGTCTTTTTAGTACGGGACCACTTAGAACGAGGTACTCGGGAGCTCCCTTACTAGTCCCACATTGTACCTCTTTTGTTGTGACGTCTTCAGTTATCTTACCTTCTTTGATGCGGGGCAACCAAAAGTTCGTCAGTCATTCCACCAGCTTCTCCAGTTACTGCCGCATTCTGCTTCATCTCCCCCTCAGTTTCTCATCTCCTCTCCTTCCTGCCCCCCAAGTATTGCCCATAAGGTAGTTTCGTCTCTTTGTCCTGTTATTGTACCAACTTGAACAAAGGTCAAGGAGAAGAGGACATCATGAGCGTCAAGACCGTCGAGTTCTCTCCTTTCCAGGACCAGAAGCCTGGCACGTACGTCTCCCACCCCCCTATTCCCCCTTCCCCCCCTCCTCCTGTTTTCTCTTGTTGCGCTACTCAAATCCATTGTATTCGCCTTTATGGAGCCCCCATGGTCTTCGCAATTAGAAGAGGCAACACCAAATGTCGCGTTGGCCTAGCTGCTGACTGCTCCCAGTTCGGGCCTGCGCAAGAAGGTCGCCGTTTTCCAGAAACCCCATTACAGCGAGTCTTTCATCGCCAGTGTCCTCCTAGCCATTCCTGAGGGCGCCGAGGGTATGTGAACCCTGAACCCCCCTTTCGTCACAGTCACCGGATCGACCGATGACCATAGATGTGCACTCCCCAACCACCTGGCTGGCTGACGCTTTTTTCGCTGCCTTCCCCTTAGGCTCCTTCCTGGTCATTGGCGGCGATGGCCGCTATTGGAACCCCGAAGTCGTTCAACTGATTGCCAAGATGGGCGCCGCCTACGGTGTCAAGAAGCTCATTATCGGCCAGAACGGTATCCTGTCCACCCCGGCCGCCAGCCATGTCATTCGCAAGCGCAAGGCCACCGGCGGCATCCTCTTGACCGCTAGCCATAACCCTGGCGGTACGTGTTTTCGTCCTCCAGTTCTTTATTCCCTCCCCCAGCCACCCACTTCCACTTCATTCTGGCCTGCTAACGAACGTCAAAACAAATCCAGGTCCCACGAACGATTTTGGCGTCAAGTACAACCTTTCCAATGGAGGCCCTGCCCCCGAGTCTGTCACCAACAAGATGTATGAAATATCCAAGACCCTCACCTCTTACAAGATCTCCGACATTCCCGAGGTCGACCTCTCCACCATTGGCACTCGCACCTACGGCGAACTCGAGGTCGAAATCATCGACAGCACTGCGGACTATGTCCAGATGCTCAAGGAAATCTTCGACTTCGATCTCATCAAGAAGTTCTTCTCCACCCACCCGGACTTCAAGGTGCTGTTTGACGCCCTGCACGGTGTCACCGGCCCCTATGGCGTCGCCATCTTCGAGCACGAGCTCGGTCTCGCCGGTTCCACTCAGAACTGTGTTCCTAGCCCAGACTTCAACGGAGGCCACCCGGATCCCAACATGACCTATGCCCACTCGCTCGTAGAGGCCGTCGATAAGAACAATATTCCCTTCGGTGCTGCCTCAGACGGCGACGGCGACCGCAACATGATCTACGGCGCTAACGCCTTCGTCTCCCCCGGAGACTCCCTCGCCATCATCGCCCACCACGCTCACCTCATCCCGTACTTCAAGAAGCAGGGCGTCTACGGCCTCGCCCGCTCCATGCCCACCTCTGGTGCCGTTGATCTCGTCGCAAAGACGCAGGGTCTGAATTGTTACGAGGTCCCCACCGGCTGGAAGTTCTTCTGCGCCCTATTCGACGCCGACAAGCTTTCCATCTGCGGTGAAGAGAGCTTCGGCACCGGCAGCAACCACATCCGCGAGAAGGACGGCCTCTGGGCGATCATCGCCTGGCTCAACATCATTGCCGGCGTCGGCCTCCAGAACCCCGGCGTGAAGCCGTCCATCAAGAAGATCCAGCACGACTTTTGGACCGAGTACGGCCGCACCTTCTTCACCCGCTACGACTACGAGAACGTCGACTCGGACGGCGCTGCCAAGGTCGTCAACGTCCTCAAGGACCTTGTCGCCGACCCGTCTTTCGTAGGCAGCAAGATCGGCGACCGCACTGTCACCGACGCCGGCAACTTCTCCTATACCGACCTCGACGGCTCCGTTTCCTCTAACCAGGGTCTCTACGCCCGCTTCTCCACCGGCAGCCGCATCGTTGTCCGTCTCTCCGGCACCGGCTCCTCCGGCGCCACCATCCGCCTCTACATCGAGCAGTACAGCGACGACCCGTCCACCTATGACCTCGATGCTCAGGAGTTCCTGGCTCCCGAGATCAAGTTTGCCACTGACCTGCTCAAATTCAAGGAGTTTGTCGGCCGCGATGAGCCGGACGTCAAGACTTGAAAATGTTTTTGAGAGGGTAGAATGAAGGACGCAAGGAGGAGGAAGCTTGTGGGGGGGGAAGCAATTGGCGCAAAAAAGGGGTTACATGACGAGGCGACGATCAGTTGCGACGAATTGAACGGATAATTTTCAGAAACCAAAGCCATAGAATTTGTCTTAATGAGCATGCCAATCTTTGCTTCCAACTACTTTATGCCGACCCAGGTTGCACTTTGAAATCAACAAGTCAGCCTGCCTGCCAATGGGATTTTCAACATTCGATAAAAATGCCTTTCTTTGAGAAGAGGGGTTTGGGAACCATGGAACGACAAAGGGGGCAAGGCAGACGAAAGATCAAGAGCAACAAAGAAGGAGAGAAAGACCAGTAAAAAAAAAAAAAAAAAGCATCTGAAATCTCCATTTTCGCAATGGTGTCAGCGGTTGACCCCTCCATCACACTACTCGGCATCAGCTTCCTCGACTGAGGCGGACATGACGGCAGGGACGGCCCTATCCTCCACCTGAGGCACGGAGGCGGCGTCGTCGTCGGTGGTGGCGCCGGCGGACGAGCCGTAGAACACCTCGCAGAACCGCGCGGCGGCCTCGGGGGAGGAGAAGAAGATCTCGAAGGCGCCGGCGCGGCCGCGGCGCTGGTTTTGCTGGCGGTACCGCTGGCAGAAGACGTATAGCTGGATGTCCTTGAGCCAGACGCGGTGTCGAGATTTGCGCTGGAGCCAGGTTGGGGATGCGGACTGGTGGGTCACTGTGATTTTTTTGTTTTTCGCGGAAGCAAATTCGTTAGCTTGGAGGGAAAGGAGAAGGCGAGGAAAACAACGAGTGGGCATACCGAAAGCTGTCCAAACGGGGCACCGCCGAAGTTCACCATCCCAGACGGCCGCGTGGAGACGAATGCCCTTGGTTTGCATGTCCTGGAATACAATGAGGGAGTGCCGGTAGCCGTCATCAATAATTTGCCTATCCTTTCACTCAGCTTCTGCCTGCCTCTCGCCTCTCTCAACCTCGCTTCGAGCGTCGAAAAGTCCGAATAAAGGAAAAAAGGACAAAAAAAAACAAAAGGTCAGCACATACGCCTGGAAGAGCCTTCGCTCGCCTGCCAGCTTGTACTCATCCGCCCTGACATCGACCGTCAGCGCGTTGCGCGCCTTCAAGGACACGAAGGTACTGTGGAAGAGGACCATCTCTGGTAGCAGGTATGTTAGCGACTATTCGTGGTTCACGTAGAGAGCCAAGCGAGAAGGGCAGAGCTCAGAACCCCCCGGGGGGCTGTGGGCTGTGAACATGCCTTCCCACGTCTGAAAGTAGAGTGACGCCCATGGTTTGGAACATTGTGCGGTCTGGCTCCAACGGCGGAGCTGAAGCGCGCTGCCCTCGCGATGAATGCAGAGCTCGTGGGCCCCTCTCAGGGAAAACCATGGCGTGTTCATATGGAAGGTGCGGATAAGGAGAAAGGCGCATTGGTTGGCGAGATTGAGATAGACCACGAGAGAAAGGCGATCGTCATCGAAAGGCCTATGGTCAGTGAAAGCAAGCGTTAGTGTGTGTGGACCGAGCGTTGCGTTGCGTATTTGGTTGAGATTGCCCTGGTTCGCACCGTCTGAAGAGGATCTGCGACTCCTTGGGGGTATTCAGAGGAGTACCCAAGGGTTGGTGAGGACCCCAAGATGTGGACGGCTTGATATGTTTGAGGGCCGTTCGCGAAGGGAGGGGGAGCGAGAAGATCTGCTCAGCCCAATGGGCATTCTAAACCGCGAGGGGGGGGGGCAAGGTAAAAGGGGTTAGCAAGTGAATCTGGATAGCGGTGGGGGTTGCCGGCTTCCTTACAGGATCTGTGTCCACGGGACCGATCACGGCCATCATCTCCGGAGGAATGACCGGGCCAACCTGGGCTGAAGGCGGGCCTGCATGCCGGCAGAGTCAGTGTCAGTCGACGTGGCCAGGACGAGTGACCCGGGTAGTACTCACATATCCCTCTGGCTTCCCGCAACTGCATAATCCGCGACCGAAGCGAGTCAAGAGCGTTGAGGTCAAAGTTGGGCGACCTGGTTTTTTTTTGGCATTGTCATTGGTTAGCCGATGGATTCAAGCCTTGTGGCGGCGGCACAGGCTTTGACGAACCTGGTGAGAAGCAACTTGAGCATGCCGAGGAAGTGGTTATATATCAAGAAGCGCTGCGGGAGGGGCAGCCCTCCCACCTCATCCTTCATTTTGTTGTACATTCTACGCCAGCGGATCTCCTTGGAGACGGTCTTGTCCTCGTAATAAGCCGTGATGTCGTGAAGCGTCCTGGACAGACAGGGCAGCACGATGTTGAGGTAGTTCAGCATCATGGGCACGCGGCTGAGGTGGGCCTGCGATTGATCGGCCAAGTCTCGCAGGGCGCGGGAGGAGGAATGGATCTCCTCGATGAGGGCGGTCATGTGGGCATGGAAGTGATCCGGGAGGGCATTGCGGAGACCCTCGAGGTAGAGGGAGACGATGTCGGCACGGTCGGCTTCGATACAACAGCCCCGAAGGAGGTGGCCGTCAACCTTGCCGGTGTACACCATTTCGAGGAAAGGCATGGTACATGTAACGGGCGGAACGGGCGGAACGGGCGGGGCCGGAACGGCGGTTCTTCGTTAGGGATCAAAGGGACATCACCGCGTACCTAGGAGCGGGCATTGAAGGCATGCCGGGTCCCCCACAAGTTAAGATGCGGCGGCGGCGTCAAGGTCGGTCGACTCGGCGCAATATGTTGTGGAGGAGGCTCTGTTGGTCGAACGGAGCCGGAGCCACCTTCTTCTTTTTGTCTTTGTTCCTTCCTTTTCTTTTCGCAACCGAAGCCTACAATCCACCACCCACGTTTCGAGAGGCTGCGATGGTGCTGGCCAGTTGGTAGTTCGTTCAATGTTGCGTTGGGAGACTGATCGCAATGGCGTCAAGGTCCGAGTTTGATGTCAAGAACTTCTGCACGTGGAAAGAGGAACTGGGAGCGAGTACGACGCATCTGACGGATGTCGAAGGGCAAAAGGACGAGTCCGGCGTGGTTGCAATAACGGGGGTCTTGAGAATGGGAGGAGGACTGGGTCTTGTGGCCGAACAAAGTCTGCAGCCTTTCGTTTCTTCTTTTTTTTCTGTTCTTCTTTTTTTTCCCTTCTTTTATTAAGATTTTTTAATTGAATTCTTTTCGCCAGGGTAAGCCGGTGTCGGTGTTGTTGTGTAATGTTTGACGAAATGACGGTGGTGAATGAAAAGTGGTGAGAATTTTCTCGTCCTCAAGCGGGGTGTCACAGTAGATAGCTTCTGAGAGAAGTCCGAAAATCGCCTATATTTTGGTTGGCCCGTCTCAAAAGATTTCGCTCAGAACCAAAGGCCAGGGTAACACAGCATCAGGTTTGCGTTTCCTTGGGCGAGAGATGAATGTGCGGACGGATACTTGACCTATCCACGACACAACACACGAGGAGCACGGGTAAGGTAGCACACATGAGTTGTTGTGCGGGTAACAAGAAACGGTGCGTTTGGATGCGTGGCTCAATACGAGAGGTCGTCGGGGATCGTCTGGGTCGTCTAGGTCGCGTGGACTGGCTATCCAGAGACTGCCACGACTGCAGGTATTCATGAGGCATGAGGCATGACCAACCCCATAGGCCCGGGCATGCTGAATATACCCACCGCATGCAAGATTGCAGCCCGACGGCTCGACGGCGCAACGGCGTAACGGATGGCGCAACGTGGATGGTGATTGGCAGCTGCATGAGTGGCGCAGGAACTTGAATCCCCAGGTGATCATGTGTGGACGATGAGTTGCAAGGCTATGGTGATAACAAGCGACGGGTTGTTTGGAAGACGAGCGGGGAAAGTCCGAGGTCCGAGAAGAGAAATTGTTAACACCAAGATACTGTCCGAGTGTCTCTTATGCATTGCCGTAGTGAATCAGAACTTGTGTGGCGGTACACGCCACATAGTACATAGTGGCTGGACACAGACAGACTTCCCGAATATTACATCATCACATCCATCATCACAGAGCCCACAACTATTAGCTAGCTGTACATCGAGCGTTCGAGTTGTGCTGGGAGTTGGTTTATGCTGTAAGGCCAAAATCGGGGGATACGTCCTGAATGCTCGGTATCACGTCCAAGTTTCGTCTGTAATACGAAGTATTTACAAGGTATGAATTTGTGTCTGGCCCCAGACCGGCTACCTCTTATGTTAACTTAAGCGTCAGTGTAGTTTTAGACGCTCAACAGTAATACGGGTTATTTCAACTCATACACACGAAAGCGCTGGGGTTCTCAAGGCGTCGCTGCTTTCCGTTGCGAAAACTGACCCTCGACTTTCCAAGGTATGCAAAATTTACATTCGGCTCTCGGTAATGATCGGACTAGAAATGTCATAGCAGCTAAGGCTCTCCAAGTGCGTCGAGTTGACATGACTTTAAAATCATTCTGCAGCCACGGCGACTTTTTTTTTTCTCTTCTGTTTTATTGTAGCTGGAGCTGGACGGCCCAGCCTAGAGTCACCGGAAGCGCCATGATGAAGACAGACAGAAATTCAATACTGATATCCGAAGCGAACGAGAAGAGAGCTATTGACATGTGTAACCAAGGAGAGAGATCCAACCATCTCGAGGACCAATTCAAATCTGTTTAGGCTACTTCCAGGCACGGGATACGGGACAAATCATAAGTGAGCGTTTGGGACTTCGGTTCGGAGTAGAGTATCTACCTACTCCATACTTACTTTAGAATCCGCTAACAATATAGGTACGAATTCGACAAGACCCTCAACCGATAAGAACCATTCCTTTTTGCCCGTGCGTGAAACAGGAGCCGAGGAAAGCGAGCACGATACGGATACCGTGCAAAAGGACTCTGTTACCTATTTCCTCTATATGGTAATTATCGCCCGACCACTATGGAATACACCCACGCATCCTCCCTCATAGGTACGCCTGACTAGCGCTGTGATTAGCGCCGCGGTTGTCTCATCTCATAACGCCAGAACAGGACCACGATCCCGAAGGAATGGATACCTTAAGCATCCCGTTCGCGGCACCTGCCGTCCAGTATGCCGCCTATCTAGCTCCAAAATACTGCTAGGGAATACGTCAGGCAGTGATCGCAATCGTCGGTTCCGCATATCTTAGAGTGGGGTGGGTTTACTTCGTAATTACATCATACCCAGGGCCTGGACGTCAAATGGACTGGGCGACACGAAAGGATTCTCAACGGTACGAGGTCAACCCCCGTTGAACCCCGTATGGACCCTGGTCCCTGAATCTTGCAAAGTCCCCAAGGGGCGGATCTCGGTTATTTACTCCGTACTTATGTTTCGTACGTTGTCTAGGGCGGGCGATATAGGTAAGGTACATGTAGGTACAGTTAAGTTATAATAACCAGGGGTAATTATTTGGCGGATGGACCCTGAACCCGACCAAACGGACCCATTTGGAAGACCCGTTTATATGATTGCGTGTCTATGCGATACTAACCTGGAACGCTACCATCGGCGTCTACGTACCTTAGTCATACGCCATCCCTATATTTAGGAGTTGTCACAGTGTCCCCTGCGGCATGCGGTAGTTTACGTGTTGCTTAAGCCGACACCCGAAGCATGTAATCTATTTTTAAATACTTCGCCCTCTCACTTCATGGACAAACGGTGCTCAGCCCTATCAGGAACGGGCCGATGGTAGTAGGTAGAACTTGGATATTAGTACACTTCTTAATTATGCTTGCACTAAAGGGGCATCGGCTCTCCGCAACTGGACCACTCGCGGGAGAACTCTTCAAACGTGTCATTCCTAGAGGCATAGGTAATTGAGCGACGATGCTGTCACTCCTTGAGTGTGGGTTTATAATACAAGACATCAAGGTCGGGGGAAGGAATCATTCGGCTGTACAATGTAGAGCCCAGCATTGTCTCATGCCTCGTCTGGAACTACTGCTCCTTCGAGGCTGCATCTGGAAATGGCCCTGGGGGTATCCCTACGTCCGGACGGGGTACATACCTAATTGGATCCCGTCCATGGACCTCTAGCATGGCAAGTGCCGTAGGAGCTTGAAAATCCCAATTTGTAACTAGCTTTGTCATGTTTTCACTATGCCCATGATGAGCATGTTATGGCGGCTATCCCGTCAACACAATTATCTCCGGTAATGAGATGGCATGCGCTCATCGCTTCGCGGGACATCTGTGGAAAGAAACGCCCCTCTCGAATCTAGTCTAATACTAGTGCTTACACTTGAATTGAATCGCGGCAAGAACGCAGATGGAGGAGCCTACCCTGAGCCTACCTGAGCCTACCGGACTTGATGCCGACAGCTCCAGCCTCCTTGGCTGCGATGGATTGGAAGCGAAGAGCCAGAACTCCGCGGATGGTACGCTTCGAGGTCGGGCATCGTCGCCTGGCCAGCTTCCTCCGACTACGCTTCGACCAGGGGCAAAGATTCCCCGTCCGAGCTTCGACATGGGATCGTGAGCTCCCAGAAGAGGGACAAGAAAAACGTATAAGTACGGCTCTGTCTCAACATCTGGATAATTTTCTGATCCCCAGGCCTCTCACCTTCTCTCAGCCGGACAATCACATCTCAGAGCATTCTACCCTCTTCAATTTCCAACGAGAAGCCGCCCATCCAACCTTCGCAATGAGAATCAACGAGGTTTTCCTGGCTCTGACGCCTGTCGTCTTTGCCAACCCCGTCATCCGCGCTGAGGAGTCCCAGGAGGTCCACATCACCCTGGAACTCAGCAAAGTCGCCGCCCAAGCCGCCATCACCGTCTGGAACAGCGACCAGACCGAGGTCCTCGCCAAGTCCTGCTCGGATTCCCTCTCCTCGGGACCCTTCGCGGACCACCCTATCGTCTTCAACGTTAACAGCGAACACGGTGGCGGTGACCTCACTGTCGGCGCTACCTCCTATACCATTGGCGGCGGTGATGCTGCCAACGCCCTCGACTGCGGCCGCATCGCCAGCGAGACCGAACTGGCCATCAACTGCGTCGTTTCCGTCCCCCAGAACCTGGGCCTGCGGTCTCTGAACAAGCGCAGCCTCAGGGAGTGCTTCCCCGACGGCCCCCTCGAGGTGTCCGAGAGCATGGACGTCTTCGAGGGCAAGGTCGAGGCCGGGGTGCCCACCGAGTTCGAGATCCCGGAGCTCAACCAGACCGAGATCGACGAAATTGTCAAGCGCGAGAACCTGCACGGAGGTCTCGAGAAGCGCCAACGTGGCTGCGCAGTGTACGCGGAGGTTCGCCGTGTCGGTAACGGAAACCCCCACCAGAACCCTTGGCATATCCAGCTTGGTGTAAGTTTTCTCCTTTATAGCCGGCTTTTGCCTTGCGTCTTTCGTCTTTCGTCTTTCGTCTTTCGCCTTTCGCCTATCTCGGAAACTTTACTAACATTACGACATCTAGGAACCCATGCAATGCCCTAGCCATGTCGGTTGCTCTACCTACCATACTACTTCTAGGTCGTTCTCTATTGGCTGGCAAGCCAATGCCGGTGTTGAGTGGATTAACGGTGGTTTCTCTGTTGTTAAGACCGCCGAGACTGGTAACAGCTATGTCTGCAACGGCAACGCCAACGATTTCTTCGCCGTGTGGAAGAACCAGGGCACCACTGCCTACACCGTTCGGAACGGAATTTTCAGCGTCTGCTCCGGTAACTGGGCCGCCAGTTCAAACAATATCATCATCTGGTCTCCCAACAGCCAAAACCGCCGCGGCTACTACTACTGCGTCTATGGCCGCCAGTACGTTCGCTCTATCGGCGACAGGTGGCTCGATACCGCTCCTCACACCCCCGGTGGTCCTTAGATGCACAAAGTCGGCTCGTAGCCTTCGACGCGCTCTGGGCACCCTGTTAGACTGAGACTCACTGGAGTCGGCCATAATTCCATAGATTTTTGATTTTTCCATGCATTTCACCGGGATTCAATCCATCTAGACAGACTTCTTGAATACACCTGTAAACACACTCTGCAACTGCTTCGTTCTTCGTTGACGTTGGTCCCTTGTGACCCCTGAAGACTCCGGACACTCCGACTGACCTCTTTCCATGCATTACCCCTGCTCTGCACCTCGGGAGGCAGAAGCCCACTCACATAAGCCATTCCCAACGAATAGGAAGTCAACCGGACCGAAACCTCCGATACTGTAATACTCCGGTACCTGAAGGGTCGTCTCATTCACAATTTACCAAGGTACTTATTGTTATATCCTGTCTCTTTTGCCATAGAATTTCGTAGGTCTTGTGGAATTTTTTTCTTCATCTTTTACCGGACATCGAAAAAGGGAACCTAGTCGGGATTTAGAACCATTCCGGAGCCCGCCGCTGGCCTTGAGAGGATGTTCGTTGACAAGTTGGGATGATGGGAGGAGCTATACTGAGTAATCTCTGGAAAAGCTGTTTTCGCATCTTGAAATGGAGTTGAGACTCCTATTGAAAGAACTGCTGTGCTGGACAGTTACGAATGCGATGACTGGCCTGAGGTGGAGGCCCCGACGACGACGGTGGAATTCCAACCGGGCCAGATCTGATCACGCCGCACCTGGTCTGATTGAAGAGACTCTATGATGCGAACCCTTGCCGTAAGGGCGACCTGAAGGCTGCAGCCACTCCCGCAAGTGATCATCCAGATCGGTTGAAACATGGGTATCAGATATCAAGGTTCAAAGACGGCAACGTGTCATCGAATACTTATACATTCGTTAATTCCAAGTCAATAGACTTCGTAGCTACAGATAGAGGTGCCTCATCATGTCCGTAGTCAGATATGATGGCTTGCTACCCTTGGCGTTCGGGTATTTGCATGCTCGTTAGCCATCAACAACCGATCCGTTCCCTTCCCTGCCCAACCCAATCAAAAAAAAGGAGGGAAAGAAATCGCCCAGCCAGCGACCCGTTTCCCATTTACCATCATACATCCGCGCCAAGACCAATAGTACAGAGGAGATAGATAGAAAAGAGAGAACGCCAGGGCGATATGCCTTGCCGAACCGAAGTGCGTTATGTGGTGGGAGGGGCCGGAGACCGTCTTCCCGTGGTGCGTGAAGACAAGGTTCTAGGGCGTGAGCATCCGCGCCCCGCTGCCAAGGACATTGTCGTCCTCGGGCTCGGTCTTCACGTCTTTTTCGTATGTCTTGCTGTTACCTCCCTACGAGGACTCCTCTTCGGCCTCGGCCTTCACGACTAGTATATTAGCTTCAGCATCGGACCATAAGGTCGGTCGGATGGGAACGGGCTTACGTTGTATGCCTGCTTCTCATCTTCGTAGCGCTTCTTGTCGGCAGCCGCCTTGGCTTCGTACGGAGCCCTCTGCTTCTCGTTCAGGGCCTTCCATCTCTCACCGAGTAGCTTGCCAACTTGGCCTGGAGAGGGAGGTTGGTTAGCTTCGACTTGATGTGCCAGACTCCTCGGAAAAAACAGGCGCGGATGGAGAAAGACAGGGGCAGAGGCGACATACCAAAGCTGATGCCGGGGTTCTCCTCGCGTACGTTCTCACGCTGCTCGTTGGCGAAGAACATATATGCGGACAGACCACGCTTGGGGGCATTGGGGTCTGGTAGGATACTTCGTTAGCTTAAGAGCGTCTTATACCGGCCAGTGGACGCGCAAAAAAAACAAGAGGTCGTCCACGCCAGCTCGCCATGGGTTATGGATTGAGCAATTCACGGCGTTGTAACCCGGGGATGCGGGGAAGATGGCGACTCACCCTTCTTGGCCCGCTTCTTCTGAACGGTGCCTCGCTTGGTCGCAGCCTTGGGCATCTTGGCGGTGCTAATCAGACGGAGTGTCAGCGAACGGCTCTATAAGAGTGCAATACGCAATTGAAGGTGATCGCGTAGGTGCCATGGGGCAAGTGTGTGTGTGTGTGTGTGTGT